TTTTTTGCTGAATTTATTTTTCGAAAAAAATATTGGCCATAACAACTGTCATCCTTGTTTCTGGTGGTACCAAAACAGTGCTGTGGAGGTTCACTCAAATTGTTATTGTCACGGTAACTTGTGCCAATGGTGCTTTATGGTCATTAGTAGGTGATGAGATTTCACAATGATAAAGCTTAAGAAATCTTACCTTGAGCATTTGGAATATTCGAACCGTAAACGTTTCTGAGTTCTGTCATGATTTCTTTCAGCGTCTCAGAATCGGACTGACCTTCCACCTTCAAGCTCATTTCACCTGTGACGGTCACGTGCAAGATGGCTGACCCTGGTAAAATATCACGTGCTTCAATGTCCATCCATATTGGGTAATGGCCTCTGATACGGTGAGCGTACAAGATAAACTCATGGCTATCCCAGAATTTGTAGGGAAACTTGATAAAAATTTTTGTGTAATACGCCAGTGGAACCTTATTTATGGCTTCCATTTTCCATTGAGGAAGTTTGGGTGAGAACATGACAGAGTCGCTTGCCAGAACGCTAGTGCTAAATGTACAGAGGCCATAGTCCGCGTTAAATGTCTCGCCATCGACTGTAGTAACTCTAATGCCATATCGGGTGTAGGAAACGTGTTTTACAATCTTGTTCAGAAGAATTCTGTCACGGAAATTATTGGCCATCTTAAGAAAGATGCTTCCATAACCACGTGGGTCAGCCACAAAGAAGTCGAGTGATCGAGATTCGAATCCCATAAGAGACTCCATCTTTGGCCGTTCAGCAAATTCAAAGTCCATAACTGAGTATTCGATGACGCTCTTAGCTGGAGTATCAGGGGTCCATCCCACACTGGATAGAGCTGCCCTGACAGACATATCAGGTCGCTGATCTTTAGATTTCAATTCTTGCAATGCCATTAGCTTTCCTTCGGCTTCAGCAAACTCTTTTAGTACTTTACGGTCTGTGGTGTCTTGACCTTTTTCATTTCTGATGGCAAAAACATACTCGGCTTAAGAGAAAAGTTAATTGTGCAAGTGGGTGCGTAAGTGGCCGGTCAGTAAAATGCCAGAAGTAACATGACGTGGATTGTTTGCTAAAAGCAATGGTTCTCAACTAAAAACAATCTACAACTTTACACGAAGAGCGTTGATGCCTAGTAATGCGAGCGTTCGCTGAGTACAGCCGTTTTTGACTGAGCTCTGATGATGGTAAGCTCTGCCTATCCATTAGAAAGATATGTTTGTGAGAATCAAAGCTGCTCTCAACTAAAAACAATCTACGACTTCACACGAAGAGTGTTGATCTCGAATCACGGACTTGAAGAATTTTAGATTATGAGGCCATTTTATAAATAAATTATAATATTTAGAGAGGAAGCCACATCAGCGCTAACTGGTTTTCTTGCGGGCTCTCGAATTGGAATTTGGAATTGTTGGTTTTTTAGGAGAGAGAAAAACCGGAGAACCCGGAAAAAAACCGTCGGAGCAAGGCGAGAACCAACATCTTGAAACTCAACCCACATCTGACACCGGGCCGGACACATTGATGGGAGGCTAGTGTTCTCACCACTGCGCCAGCCCTGCTCCCCCATATGCATTTTAAATGCATAAACGCAAAGCAAATACGCCAATTTACCTTATTATTATATCGCTGTAGTTGGTGTAGATTCCTCGTAAGTTGTGCTTCTTCTTTAGCTCCCACAAAGGGTTTTGTTCATCATCCGCATAATGAATCCAGTTTGCACCTTCTTCCAGCTTTACTCCCGCAAAAGATCTTTGCTTAAAACGCCCTCCAATGTAATCTTGAGCTTCCAGGATCAAGAAGTCGTTGATTCCATTCTCTTGGAGAGTTTTTGCAGCCACTAAGCCCGCCACGCCTGCCCCAAGAATCAACACTTTTGTTCGACGCGTTTTAGTTGTGTCCCCAGGCCGCAGTTGCCCACCATGGACATCGGACAAGGAAAAAAGGTGAAATACGTATAGAAACAGGAGTATCAAGTCTCTCTTCATGTTGGAGTTGATCACTCTGGAAATAAAACAGCCATGATTTCAATATTGTTATTATTTAGTGACTTCAATTTTTTAGTTTGTTGGTTGATTGGTTGGTTGGTTTTGTTGTTACATTTTTTTCTTTTCGTTTTTGTTTCTACGTTGATGTTCGTGATTCCAGCCGCGTTGCATAATCTTAGCAACAATTGAAAATAAAGAATTCTACACCTCTAGTTAATCTAAACTATTGATACTTTCACTTCTAGAGTGAATGGCCCAGATTTAAAATTACTGAGGACTACGACAGTCTGCCAAGTGTTTTTGATGACTGTTACCTTCAAGTCCAGTTTAGGGTATGCAAAATTTTACTCCATTGTGACACTACAGACACTGAGGTAAACTAATTCAAATTTAAGGCTGTTTTCTGTGAAAAAACAGCTTCGTTTAAAGTCTTCCAACTAGGCATACAATGCAACTTTCCAGAAAGACGAAACTGTTATTAACCATAAAAACTGAGAAGCACTTGTCTCGAAGTTTTGACAGTTGTAGTCAAATATGACGAGATTTCTAGACCCAGGTGATGTGATTGACTAAATAAAGGATGCAACCAAATCTTGAAGGTTTTTCTGCATTTTCAAGGCTTACTCTTTGAAAAGAACTAACTTGCACGTACAAAAAAAATGCACCCCTCTTTTTTGTGTTTAGAAACATCAGATATGACTAAGTGCTAAAACTAGGGGCTTTCAGCTGTTTTGTACCGTGTCTTACAGGTCGTTTATTTATTATTTTAACATTTCTAGTCGGGTTACAAATCTCTTATAAACCAAGCTTGAATACTGGCTCTCGGTTGTTTCTGTATGGACCTTGCTAAGTCGGCCTGTACTATACACACCCTAGGCCATAACGGCCAAATGAGGCCATCGCTCTTGGTGGAGAAGACTTTTTTGAAAAGCTAGTTTTACAACTGTTCTCCTAAAGCTATGTCCTTGGAATAAAAACGAGGTTTAATTGAACATGTTATTGGCAACCCCTCGTCAATGGAAAGTCTAGTTTAGTAATAGCCGAGAGTTCCTCCTCAAGTGAGTGACTATCATTATTATCATTATTAAACACCTTGTTCCTTGATAATTTAAAATCTATCTATCTATGTTTTGATCGGCTTGATATATAAAAAAGATCCCGCAAGCTAGGAGGGTCACCTTCCACTCAGCCGCTAACTTAAATTCAACAAAATCAACTGCTATTATAGTCATTTCCTGATCACTCGCTTAGTTACTATTGACTTAGTCACCAAATGATGAAGTTGTGAAATAACATGATTTACGACGGCAAAAATCTAGTATTCGGTATATAGTGATAACATAATTGTAGTCAGACATGACAATAAAAAAAAAACGTCCATATTTAAAGTTTTTTAGTCAGTGACAACAAACGTTTAA